CAAACAGCAAAAATTTTAAATAATAATAACACTAAAATTGTTATCCAAAAAAATAATTAGAAGCTAATATATATGATTTTTTTACAACTACTGCCACCAAAGAACCACCTAAGAATAACTCTACCATTTGAATGAATGGAATTCCCAAAACCACACTAGTTAAATATAGTTAAGGATAAGAAGATTACCACAATAAACAGCATCCCTATGTCCCCTTAGTCTCTTTATGTTTTGCACCATTGTTAAGGGTTTAGCAATGAAGAGATGGAGCACGATGGTGTTTTGGAAAACCACCTCCGATTTCTCTCAAACTTAGTCCACGCACCTGATCAGCCTGCATGTGAGGCCAACGCAAGTATGCAGGCACAGGATTGACTTGCTTGTTTTCTTCATTCCTGCCAGCTGCATCATATAATAACAATACTAATAAGAAAAGAGCAAACAAAGCTTATCCAAAGCTATACATTTGCATGAGATTTCCACAACTACATTATGGCCGTTATGAGCTCTATATATGTGCAAAACAGTTACTGCAGACGGAAATCCACCCCTGGGACACTACTAAACAAAGTTTATTACTCTACGCAGAACAAGGCAATCCAATGGTGATGAATGCAACACTATCTCTATAATCGTGAATCTTTTTTTTTATTTATAGGTAATATGTAATTATGAGCATATAATTAAAAGTATACACTCCAAAGTTTAGAGAAAATTGGACACTAAAAACATACTCCCATGTTGATAAAATCTGTGTAAGAATGCGAGATGTTATACGAGTTGCCAATCAGACTACTATCTTCCAGGTAAATCATCCACACTTACTTTTACAACTAGTATTATTTCCCAACTGAGACTTGAATTATGCACCTTTTCCTAAAGCTTATTCTAAGTGGTGTCAAACAGAGATTTTTATTTTAATTGTTCACCATCCAGATAATACACGAAGTTTACAACAGCCGATCAAAAATATATATAAAAAGTTTACAACAGATACAGAACCAGAAGCAATCCAGGGTTCCACTTGTCCATGATTTGAAGCACACATGATCATGAAATTAATTGGCAGAACAATCCTTTTAAGAACAAAAATAAGAGTGAAGAAATATAGTTTACGAAATCACGTACAACCCACAAGTGAAAAGGGACCAGTTCCAAGCAGTGTAGGAACGTCAACTGCAGTTAGAGCACTCATTCCACCCATGCTCTCCAATGAAGGGGCTGCATTCAGTATCAGTTGTTTCAACAGCTTTACCAAGTGATCCTTTTCAATGTGCAGATACCTAAAGGAGGTGCATAAAAAAGGTCAGCAAAACCCAGTAAGAGCAAAGTGGGAAAATTGTATAGGTATAAAAGGAAATAAAGAAAGAATATATATGGAAAAAAAATAGATCACTAATATTGTTGTTGGATGGGCTCTAAAATGACATCACCAACTCTCTTGCTTGCTCAGTTTACAAGAGCTGCACCCAAGTTTTGTGCTTTGGTGGTTACTTTTACTTCTTTTCTTTTTAAAAGAAACAGCCACCTTTGAGCTTGGACTCTACCAGAAATCATTTTCCTTTTTCAACTTTCTTTCACTTCTAGTGAACCAGTTACTCTCAATCTCAGCAATTTTTAATCCCTAATTGTTATTGGATCCATCAGGAAGCATTTTCTTGCAATAGTAACATTTGATTAAAGGAAACTGATTTATCTTAGGGAAGAGTATACATTGATTCCAATAAGTTCAGGTGAAAAAAGGTAAATGTAAAAGAATTAATTAGGGAATTCATCATTGTGCTAAAACTGAGAAGAAATACCTACCATATAGAGAAACCACACTAAGATTCCAAATTTGGCATATGGTCTGTTAGGATAATATCAGTTTCCATAGTAGGCATCCAAATATAAAATTCACGAAGTAGACTATGGTTAATTCAACCACAATCCACAAAAGAGCTACCATTAATTCATGCATAAATCATAGATAAAATACATAAACAAGATCTAGAAAAGGAATGTTAAAGTTGACTTTTTTTATTTTTCGAAAGAATATGGCCTAAGAAGTTTAGCACAGACATTACAACACAGCCTCATACTTTTGGTTCTAAATACTTAATCAAGACAAGAACTAATGAGGCAAGCAAGATATTTGAAGCATATGTACCTTTCAACTAATTTATTATAACTTAAAGGAAAAGAGACACCATTGTCATTTTCATGCCCACTAAGTGCACCACTCCTTGAGTACCAAGCATGATATCTCCTAGGCAGTAGCTGATGTTCCAGAAGTTCATTCCAAAATTGTCCAAAAGTTCTCTGACATGGCCCAGCTGATAAAAAATGCATAATCAAAAAGTAAACTTCTCTATGGTCAATATCTACATCTGCAACAGCAGCGTGATCAGCAACCGTCTCCTGTTCTTCAAATTGAGCCTTTGCATGGTCCTTATTGACAAAATTCAAAGGTGCCATACTCATGGAAGGTGCATCAACGACAGACGTGCACTTTCGAAAATCCATACTTTCATGTACAACAGTACACCTGAAGCAATACACAAGCACCAGCTCAAAACCCTCGCTTCAAAAGCACAATTGATGCAAAAAAAATTCACACACACAGAGAGTTGTTACAATCTTGAGAGTTTTATTAACAACAGCTTAATCAGCAACAAACCTTTAACAAATTACAAAGTTCTTATGATTTAAGTGACAACAACTACATAAACCAACTGTATAAAACTAATCACTTGGAGCTCAGTTTGCTTGAGCCTGTGAGAGAGCTTGAATGAGTTGGCATGGCAACCTAGCCGTGCTTTACGAACCTGATAGATTGAGATTTGTGAGCCATGATACACCACCAAAAAAATCAAATTGATATAAACCTAACATGCCATTCAACTAGTTATAAGTAGTTCCCTTTATTAGTCTCATTCACCGTAAGTATCCAGGGAAAGGTTGCTTGAAGAGTAGTCATATGGTCCAAACCCATCGGAATAGGGCCAATTCTAATTGAAAAGGATCCAAATGATAAGCCAGGTCCTTATTAATATTAATTAGAGAAATTCAGAGTGTTTTGTAACTGTCTGATCAGATTCCACAGAGAGTTACATGACTAGGGTTTCCTCAAAAAGGATTGCAAAGAAGACATTAACTGTAAAAAGACTTTGCCTCCGCAAGTACATGTATATTAGTTCCCCCAAATCTTAACGCATTCAATAAAGGCACTTTTGCTCAAGAATTCAATAAAATTATACTCATGTCTTTCAGATTCAGATTTCAACAACCAATATGGATGATTAATTATACAATCAGACGAGAGAGAGAGAGAATATAGGAATAATTTGATGTGAGGTTTTAACCTACAGATTGTTTATATAATAACCAAAAAAATGCAGCATAAACATCAAAATCAAGTCACTATTGTTCACTGATTACATGAAGAACGGACTTAGATCAAATCAAAGGCACGTGCACAAGCACAAGCACTAACCCTATGTTTGGTTGCCGAGAAAACTAATAGAAGAAAAACACATCTTGTGTTGTGTTGTTTTCGGTTCCCACAAGAAGCGAAAAAATACTCATTTCAACTACGCCAAAACAGTGCACTGAACGCAGTCAGTGGAGGTTTTGCTTTTTCAGGTTCAAAAAATCGAAAATTTTTAAAATTGAAGATTTCATTTTCTTCTTTTTCCAGCATTTTCTCCGCACCCAAACAGAGCGCAAACTAAGCTCACATGGGTAAATTAATGAATTCCGTTTACAAATTTGCAACAAAGATCTGATCATTTTACCTTTACCAACTTCGATTCGGACATATAAAAGGGCGAGCTTTTAGAACACACTGATCCCTTGTAGAGATCTTTCAACGAAACAAGTTTCGTGAGAATCCACGATGAGGTCTGTTTGGGTTATGAGAAAAAAGTGCTGAGTTCGTTTTATTTTCTTGTTGGTTTTCTCGGAGGGTGCTATTCAATAAAATGGAAGAGAAAACCTGACATATATATTTTTCGGACAAAAATAATAGTAAAACAAATGTAGGTTGGATGGTAATTAATGACCAGATATAGCTGGGGTGGGATCTTTAAGAAAATGTTTCGTAATTCAATTTTTGTGGTTTAAAAGTGATTTAAATGGTCAAAACGATGTCGTTTTGGCTATTTTTATATTTTTCTGTACTCAAAGACGTCGTTTTGGCCATTTGAGCCATTTTTAAGTCACAAAATTTGAATTACATAATATTATCGGATCTTTAATTTCCGCACAACAGACACGAATTTTCTTAAATATGTACAAATAATAAAATTTAATATCCTAATCTACACCTTACTCACTTTCCAACAATATCCCTAACACCCTTTAAATTTTTTAATGTTAACCCTAATCTTAGGTCTCATTTAGAAATATAATATTTTAGAAAAATTTTAAATTTTTATAAAAATATATACAAAAAAATAAAGGGTGATGTAAAAACTTATAACGATTTTTTGTTAAAATGTATAGTTAACAAATGACGCTTTAATCCTAATCATAATCCTAACAGCTATTCTTTCAACAACTCTTATTATTACTAATCGTCGTTCTTGCCCTCCCTTCTATTCTCATTATCATCTGCACCTTTCTCCTTCTATCGTGGACTTCCTTTTTCTTTCTTTATTTCTTTTATTTGAAAATATCAAATTTGTTTAATAGTAATTTTTTAAGCAAATACTGTTGGTTCAATAATTAGTGCTTGTACTTATAGTCCAAACTGTGAACAATAGAGTGGTTAGGGTTTAAAAATGGTAGTGTACGTGATCTATTTGGGTTAGGGCGACAATGAGACTTTGGATAAGGAAGGAGTTGAGGGGATTGCAACGTCAAATAAAATGTTAGAACTAATCGATGTCGCCAGAGAAGGGTTTAGGAAGGTTGGCAACGTTGGCAACATCGAGGATGATAGGAAATTATAATTTCGAATGAATAATGTTATTTGTATAGTTTTATTTTAGGATAAAATTATAATGAACAAAAAATGGTTTGGGAAATTTGACTATAAATCTCTCCTAATTTTTCTTTATTGTTATAAGGATTAAAAAATAAAATAGTACTTTTAAAATCCCCTCATAATTATAAAATTCTATACAAATGATAAAATTTATTATTTGAATATTTTATTTAACCATTATACCCTCTTTTTCTTTTACATCTCTCTCTCTCTTTCTCTCTAACTCTACGGTTGTTCATCGTCTCCACTATCTTCATTGTCTATCGGTGTCGCACATCCTTACCATCGACCGACAACCACCATTTTTACTATCAAACCACCACCATCTCAAATTTGATACCTACGAACTCATATTTGAGATCAATAACTTCAAATATAAGATAAAAACAAAAGTAAATAAATAAATAAAAACTTAGATTTGCTATAAAAATGAGAAATCCATATATTATAATGAAAAATCAAGAGTTTTTTTGTTTGTTTGTTCATAAATCTAAAAGTAAAATTTGACTCTGGTTCGTTCATTTAGTATGTACTCTATTTTTGTAATAGTAAAATTTACTCTAGTAAACAACATGATGATCTGCTTAACGATAGTAAAATTTTACTTTAATTCAGAGTAAAATTTGACTCATTTTTTTATTACTGAGTAAAAGAGTAAAGTTTATTACGATTAAAAGTAAAATTTTACTTTGAAACAAACTGTGAGGATGGCTTTATACAAGAGTGTTACGTCATGAATCAGAGTAAAATTTTACTGTTAGAAGAACAGAGCATCATGAGAAGAAGAAAGAGAGATAGAATTCAAAAATAGAGAATCAATAAAATAAGAACAAGAGAGAGAGAGAGCATAAATGATGAGTGACATACATACACACATATACACAGAGAGAGAGAGCATCAAAACCAAAAAGAGAGAGAGTGAAATATCTCAAATTTGAGGTTTGTGAATTGTCGCAAATCGTCATTTTCCGGCGAAAAACAACTATGAATGATCTCAGATCTGAAGTTATGAATGCAACAAGTGATGGTGTCGATGAAGACGGTAGAAAAAGAGTTCCATGGTAAACAGCGGTGGCATCAATGGAAAGCGGCGATGGTGCAGATAAAGAGCAACAATGACAAGAGTAAGATAGACAGAAGAGAGATTGAGATGAGATAAAGTAGTTGAAATCTAATATGCACACACACATATATATATACAAGGGTATTATAGTCAAATAAATAAGTTTTAAAATATTTGAGGATTTTGAAAGTATTTATATAATTCTTATCATTTTGAATGACAAGTTAGACATTGAAATGCCTATCACCAAATCCCCAAAAAAGTTTTACGGGAGCCTTGCTTGGAAATGTTTTCATTATTATTATTTTTAAAAATTAAAAACGAAAACTTGTTGGATATATACAACTTTATTTTCAAAAAAGTAAAATTGATTTGATTTTTTCTTTTATTTTTCTTTGAAAAATGAAAAAAAAAAATTACTTTCATTTATTTTCAAAACTCTCTCATCCCTTTTGATGCATTACTCATCTCCACCAACCAATAGATAAAATGATTTAATGAAAAGCGGTTTTCTTTGGATTATGTGTAACATTTTGAATTGTTTTTAAAGTATGATAGATTAAAAATCGGTAAGATAGTAAGATTTTTTTTAATTAGGTGCAAGTCTCCTATATACTGTGCAAATTACTTTCTTTGTCTAAAATCTTTCTTATGTCAAATTTATGCCCAAAAAATTTTATATATAATACAAATATTTTAAAACAATTCTCCCAAATTATGTGAGCTATATGTGTTAGGTTTTATTATTAACAATTTAATTTGACAAACCTCATTTCAATTGTAATTTTATGAGAGACTATGAGTTTTTAGATGCAAATTCAACCTGAATTGTGTCTATGTAGAGGAGTTTATGATCTTAATCTTATCTTGATTGTCACTTCGCTAACTATGTCGAGGAGTCAGTTCACGGGAGTCCAGGGGACAACACCTTTTGGCGGGTCCAAGGCCCCTGATAGCGTCGAGAGGCAACACCTCCGAAGCAAAAAGTAAAATTGCAGTCGAAGTTGTTTGCCCGTTTGAACGGTCATTCCTGCCCTCGAGCGTAGACTCTATTTACTCACACGCGTTTTAGTCAGTTATTTTTCTGCTTAAGCGGCCATTCTTGCGCTCGAACAGAGATCGCAGATCTGTTTGTTATAAAAACTGCAGTTCAGTCAAGTTTTGGGATACAACTTCTAGATCTTCTTCTTGAGTATTATGATTTTCATATGAAGTTTCTTTATTTGTTTCCTTTGATATCTGCGAGAGTTTAATCATGAATTAAGGAGATTATGTCAAAAGACTTGTGTAGTGTGTTTATTCAAAAAAAAGAAAATTGTTCTTCGATGGATTCTATGAAATTTAAGCCTGAAGTTTTAGTAAATTCTAGAGTGACTCATCATCATGGACTCGATATCAATGTTGTGAATTCAACGTTAAACAAAACAATTCTAAGATAAAAACGGGACTAAAAGAGGCATATAAAAGTCAGTTTGATTCAAGCGTAGATTCACTAAGTAATTGAAAGTACACTTGTATAATTTCCTTGTGTATTCTTATTGAATTATTTTGTGACTTTGACTCGTAATTTTTTATCACAATTAAAGACACTCCAATTGTGATTTTTCCAAATTAAAATTGTTATGTAAATTTATCTTTAATTATTTAATTGAAATTATTATTTATTATTTAAAATTAATACATAATCACAAATCAATATCTCTAAAATTTTATATTTCTCAATATGTTTTCAAGTCAAATCACAAGAGATTAAAACGTAATTAACCTATTTGGAAAAAAATATAAGAAATTCCATTAGAAAATCTTATTTGTAATAGTTGCACTTGGCATTATATTAACTTGATGATGTTGAGAGGTCAAACGACACAAATAAAAACCTCAAAATAAGTTTCTAAATAAAAGTCAATATTCGAAAAACACACAAAAGAAGTATATAAAATTTATAAAAACATTGGAATATAATCTCAAAATAATTTTTTACCATTTGCAAAATTGAAAAGCTAAAATGAATAATAAACAACAATTAAACAGCAAGCTGTTTAACCTATTAATTAAAATTTCAAAAATTCTTTAATCTTTAATTTTTTCTTTTAAAGACCAAAGTCACTTCTACTTCATTTTTCTTTTTCATCTGCAAATTTCTACTAAAATCCAAATTCAAATTTAGCCTCAACACTATATCAGCTAGGAAATCTGCAATACCTCAGGCCTTTGTTCAAGGTTTCCTATGCTTGCTAGTTGTACAGACCCAATGTATCTCTTAAAGCAACCTTAAATTCACTTAAAAAAATATTAAAACACTTCAGAAACTAATTGGTGAAGATTGTCCAGTATTAGGCAAAAAATAATACACAGATCTAATATTTTAAGCAAATACATCAAGCATCAATGAAGCGGATATCAAAGGTGTTTGGATGAATTTGCCACACATTCAAGGCCGCATATTCCTCTAAGCATTCTTTCAACTGGGCTTCGCTGTATCCCTGGTCAGAACAAAACATTTCAGACAATTAAAAGACTAGCAAGTTGAACCAACTGGGCTCCACTCCAATGCACATAACACCAAAACTTTGAAGATGTATACATAATCAAATTACAAAGAAATCTTAAACAACCCAATACCCTGCTTTCAGATTTGGACTAAATGAGCATTTTAGAGTTACCAGCAAGTCACGCTTTGATGTACTTGATAAGTCCAGATTCAAACTTAGACCCCCAAACAAGGACCGTCATGTTCCGAGATAGGACTCCCCGGCCCATAACCAATCTAATTATTGTCTGAACATTTCCCTATCTGACACTTCTTTCATTTGATGACATCAAAATGTGATTATAATTTTTCGCTAAGGTATCAGATTTTTATTTTGTTAGTTTTTATTCTAGTTGACATCCCAAGTGGACTAATTGAATCAGAGCAATGTCCCCTTACTACCGTTTTGACCTCCACTTCAGTTCTGAAGTACACTAAGCAAGTTCAATTGTGAATTCAGAAAACCAGTCCCAAATCAATTCCAACAATTGGTTACTGACCTTCCTAGAAATCCAGTTAAGTGCATGAGCATAGCTCACATCCATCTTGTTAGACCTTGCAGCTTCATCTCGCAAAATTGAATAGATATCCGAGATCGCATCCAAGCCAGATCTCTGGCGATCCTCCGAGTACAAAGAGAACTTTGACATCTGCATTAATCTGAGTGCCTCATCGACATCACTCTGAGCAATGGTATCTGAGAACCGAAGTCTTGCCAGTGCCTATAAATAAATGGAAGTAGAAGAACAAATACATTTTGTCAAATATGAAAGTAACATAATGACTTCTAGTTTTGCATCTTAAGGGATACTATGTTCATCAAGCCAATAAAGCCAACTGGAGAACTGGCTACCCAAACTGATTCCCTTGTGGTATCTCTATCCCAGATGGTGATCCAGTTGAATTGTATATCAGGCTAAGGTTGTTTGGAGACCCAGGGCTGGACATACTAATCATGCTATGCATTCCTTTTGGCCACTGCTAACCTAACCACACCACTCCATCTTAACAAATGCATAAAAAATACCTATGAGGATACCGCAGTTAGTATGAGTTGGAAATAAATTAAATAAAAACTTACAGCTGATATCCGGAGAATACTGAGCAGAGTTCTCACAGTCGTATAGGAATGGGGAGCGTTTGATTTGGCTTCATCTTGCCGGATGCCAGAGTACGCACTAGCAATATACTCCTCGAGCTCTTTTGGAACATAAGGGGATAATTTTCTAGCAGTCGAAATATACGCCCTGGCAAAAATGAACAAGAAACCAAATTTAACGTTTTTTTAATATTAATTCTCTAGACAGCAATTGAAATGTCAGTTCAGTTATATACTGCTAAAAAGATGATTTGTATACTACCGAAGAACAGATGGTTCAAGAGGAGTGAAACCAAGAGCTGGAGATTCTTTATTCCGGTGGACATAGACAACATGCCTAGCCAATTCAAGATCACTATCCATATCCGCCCGATCTAAGATCAGCCACAGAAGATCAAATCTTGATAAAAGAGCTGGAGGGAGATTAATATTTTCAGCTGGAGTTCTTCGTAGGTCATATCTTCCCCTTCAACACAATTATAAAGAAGTACTAATAAAATATAAAACCCATTATAGACTAACTTGTTTCATAAACAATTTAGAAGCCAGCCCTAGAGCAAGGCAGAAACCAAGATGAGTAGAAACATAAACGGAATGGTTATAAGCACTTGACAATATTTTCTTTTCTTTGGACAAGTAACTTCATAACCTGTAGGTATTATTTTTACCACGCTGGATTTGCAGCAGCAAGAACAGCAGTTCTTGCATTCAGAGATGTCGTGATCCCAGCCTTTGCTATGCTAACAGTCTGCTGCTCCATTACTTCATGTATTGCTGTACGATCTAATTCATCCATCTTGTCAAACTCATCAATAGCACAAATACCCATATCCGCTAGCACCTGAAAGAGTATTAAATCACAGAATTTGATAAAAGAACTCTATTGAACCCCAAAATTGTGAGAGAACTTTTTTTGTTTTTTGCTGGGGTAGAAATATGAGATAAACAGGAAAGAGCTGGATTTGTGAAAACAATCATTCAACGTTTACTTTTTTTTCTTTTTTTCTTTTTTTTGGCTCATGGAAATTAGGTTAACAGTTAGTTAATACACAGCTCCACCGTCCAAATTATAATGCATGCATAAAAAGGACTACACACATTTCTATGCTATACTCGCTTTTGTATAAAAATAGCAAGTATATGGACAAATTTGATGCACACAAAAAGTATAGTCTCACCAAAGCTCCACCTTCCAGGACCATCTCATTTGTTACAGGATCTTTCTGAACAGCAGCAGTCAGACCAACTCCACTGCTTCCTTTGCCTGTGGTATACACTCCCCTTGGTGCAACATTGATTATGTGCTTAAGGAGCTGACTTTTTGCAACCCCAGGATCACCCATCAAACATATATGCAAGTCTCCTCTAATCTGCATCCATAGTTTTTTGTATTATGAAGTGATAGTAAAAATGTCATTTTTTTTATAGGCAAGACATCACTTAATCTTAGGCAAGAATGTGTGGAAACCTGATAACAGGAATTAATTAAAGAAAATATAAAACTTATTTACTAGAAATACAATAAATAACAGCTGGCCGATAACATATATGACAAGGTGAAAAAAAAAAAAAAATCAATGGTCTCAAAGAAGAAATGAGTAATCTTCCACCTTGTTCATATTGCGTTAAAATTACTTTCAAACTCAGATTCTAATACAGTCCCAATGTTTTTCAGTTAACTGAAGTGCTTCTATGCTTTCGTTTGGCAAGTGACTTTTTTAGCTAAAAAGTCAAAAAGTTACTAAAAAATCAAAAAGCCAATAACATATATCAAAAAGTCAAAAATTCTCTTTTCTCTCTACTTTTTACACATCTTTTCGTAAAAATTTAAAAAGTCATCCCAAACATACTAATTTTTTTATATCATATTCTAGCTAAAAAGCCAAAAAAATATTAAAAAAACTTGTTTCCAAACGAGGCAGTTTGCCAATCAGCGCTTAATCTCGGAATGCTGGAATAAACTTCATCCCCAGGTATTTACCTTCATCCCATCTTTCAAATTCCGATGAGGAGCACCCACAAGGAGAAGAAGAAGAGCCTTTTTAATATCTTCATGTCCAAAAATTTCTGGAGCTAAGGATTGTGATAGTTTGTTATAAATATCACCATCCTCGCTTAAGCGTGCAATTTGTTCTTCCTCATCTCCTCTAAGTTCATACCTGCAACAAAAATGACTGATTACATCAACTGACCAGTTCTTCTTTGACCCAACTTGTTTAGTTTTTAGCAGATGCATTGAAATACACATCCAAATAAGATTGCATATTTGCTTAAGAATGGCATCTCTATTCATATACTGACAATAATATGAAAAAGGAAACCTTGTTTCTGCATTAGAATATCTTGTATGTATTTTTATGTTAGATGAAGGGAGTGGATGTGTGACTATATGAACATTTTTATGCTTTATTCATAGTTCCATTTTAGAAAGTTTGCTTATAAAAGTTCAGTTTTAGCTGCTTTTATCATCAAAACCCAATCAGAAATATCTTTCTCCTTGTCACAAACTGAATGATAAGCATTGATCTTTAGGGTACTATTTAAGCTATATAATATATTTCTCCAAATTTCTTTTGTTTAAACACAGCATTTCAAAACTTTCATTATCCTTTTGCATTTGCAGATCTTGCACTAAACCTCTATGTACCATAGACCATAGCACTGCTAAGTAACGTAACTAGCAATTATATAAAAAGATACAGATGGTACATTACAACTTTTCTTTTCCTTTGACCCTTTTTGCTCGGCAAGGCATAAGTTATCCACTTTGAACGGTTAAACTGACCTCCCGTTTTAGATATAAATAATTAAAAGGAAGGCAAATTTGCATCAATTGCCTCTCCAAATATGGGGTTAAGGATGCATACATTTGACCCTCCAAAGTGTACAAAGAATATATTTATTTGAAGTTAGATAGAACGAAAGGACTAATGAAAAGAGCATAAAAAATAAAAAACTTCTTTTTTGCAACTGCAAGAATTTGCAACAGGTAAAAATAGCCATTTCCATGATTAAATATTCCTTAAGCTAATTAAGAGATGGAAATGGCTTACTCCTCATATTTTTTCTTGAAATGGGAAACGGACATGGCCTCCAAGTATGTATCTGCAACTAAACCAGCTCGCATTGCTCTAAATCCAGTGTATGGAATTGGAAGAAAAATCCCTGATAACTCAGCAACATCACCAGGAGCTACCTGATAAAGTTTACGACAACAAATACCATAAAAAACATGTAAATAAAAACTAAGGATGTTAGAAGTGTGTAAAAAGAGCCAACAATCAATCTGCAACCAAGCAAATTCAAAAGGGAAAATAAAAACATAGCATAAATAGATGATAATATGCCAAATTTTAGAAAATGGAAGGTGAGATTAACAACCAATACTTTGATAACTACTAGTAGTGGGTAATGGATATCAAAAAATGTGGTGCAAAGACGACATCAGCTAGTAAGTCATATATATATATATATATATATATGTATATATCTGGAAAATGATTGACATAAGAACCACCAACCTTCCTTGTAAGTTCTCCCCTAAAATGAATAGTCATTGTTCGTGGAATATGTCCTTTTGGGACATGTTCAGCTAACTCTTGAATCTTAGCCTGAAATTAGGTGACATCATAATGTTAATACACATAAGACGAGGCATTAGAAATCACCTTTCAAGTAATACAATATCAATTATCAAAAACTGTTGAAGAAAGTCATACCAACAAATCATTGTTATTATGATAAAAAATAATAATAATAATAAGAGACAGGAAAGAGATACCTCCTGAAACTTCAAAAACTTTGATGCCCTGAGTTGAAGGATGAGGTTCCCTTTTGTCTTGTTGGTCTTACAGCGGCTAGATGGGCACTCAAATAGTGGCATAAAAACTCTAGCAGTTACCTCCTGTTTGTCACGTAAAATATCTAAACATGAAACAGAGAAAAAACAGAATAAACAAAGCTCCACATTTTTTCAAAAATGTTCCATTCAATTCCAAGAAGATGAAACTTGCAAGAGTTATTGTAGCATAGTAATAAAATTGCTCAAATGTAAACCCCAAGGGGTTTTATTGGCAAGTTTAGCCCCACGATGCATAGGTTATGAGTTCCAATTGATAATTACCCAATATGTGTGGGACAAGAGGACATCTATCTAAGAGGGAATTGCTAGGATGCCATAAAAGAGGAAGGAATGAAGGATTTGTTCTTACTTATATTAAAGGGGGAATGGGTGTGTTAATTGAATGGGATGAAATGTATCATGTGCCCAAAAAAACAAAAAAAAAAAAAAAAAAAAAAAAAAAAAAAAAAAAAAAAAAGCACACAAACAAACAAACAAAGGATCATGTAGGACAAGGGCTTGAGAAAAACCCTCAGGTGCATCATAGCAAAAACAGATTGCATCATAAAATTACAGAGAGGTTTGAAAAGAAAAAAAAAAAAAAAAAAAGAGGGGGGGGGGGGGGGGTTTCTATTAAATTACCTGATAAATTTCGAAACCGCATTCTTCGCAGGTATATACAGCTACCTGCATCAATGGCTTCACATCCGAACAACGTGTCACAATACCAGATATCCTTACTAACTGGCCAATATTAGAAGCTCTAACCTCCCGAATAGTAAATGGGCGTCCCGTTGAAGATGCCCTGATATAAACCTCACTGGGTTCCATTTTAATGAGCAGATTTAAGTTATACAAAACTAGCACTCAAAATTCAGAATCAAATTTTTCACAAGCAGCAAGGAAAAAGGGTTTTCCTGAAGCTTACTAGAAACGTTTGATCTCCGGAGGCATCCTCTGGAGAGGATCAGAACCATCGGTGTTCTCTGTTCGATCCTCAGACCTCTGTGTCATCAGGATATCATGGTCATCATCAGGAAAAGCCTCCGTTGGCTCTGGCATGAGTTCATCAATTGCCTCTGCGAAAATGCCAACGTAACGCCTAGTATTTTCAGTGACCCGTCTGAGAAATTCTTCATCCAAGTCCTTATACTGAAGGGGGGGACATAATATGGAATTAGGGTTTTTCAAAAATCAAATTAAAACATCTAATAATATAAAGACAAGGATCGAGAAAATTTACACTAAGTAGGTCCTCGAGATCAATCTGGATCGCCTTAGTTTTATGGTTTGCAACATCTTGCTGAGATCAATGGAAAAATTAGGGCTAATGCTATCCAACAAACAAACAAAAAAGTGACTGGGTTGCTGAGAAGCAAATACTTAAAGAAATTAAAATTGTGACCTCAAATACTGAAAATTCTCATAGATTCAAGATTTTGATTAGAAAAGAAAGGTGAGAGTTAGGAACTCACAAGGATTTTCATGTATTTGGCTTCTCCATTGCCTTCAGCAAAGTTCAAAATAAAATCTCTCGCGAGATCTGCAGCAATAATCACTCGATCAAAGGTAAATACAAATAAACTACACAAGAGGGGAGAGAGAGAGAGAGAGCAAAATGCTTACCTTTGTCCCGGCTGAAATCAAAATCTTTCATCATTTTTCCTACCCACACACACACGCTAGCTGCTCAGAGAGAGAGAAAGAGAGAGAGATAGAGAGAGGGAGGGAGGGGCAAGAGACGATGGCTTAGGGATTTGGCGCCAAATGAAGGAAACAAGAGGAGAGTTTTGGCGGGAAAAGAGTTCAGCCCGACTAACTATAGATGTTTGACACGTGTACGCTTGCGATCGAGCTTCTCCACAAAATAGTTACCGATGGATCGGTTATTTTATAGGGCCGTGCTATGTCCCGAAAATCCCTCCTTAATCTACCGAATTTTCAAACCAAGGCGCCAAAAAAATCTGGAAATTAACCGGACATCCGGGTGGACATCCGGGTGGTCTACCGAGTGGTCTTCCTTTGGACAGAAAACACGCCTGTGTGCACAGAGTTCTCTGCAGAGAGAATAGAAAATTGATTTGAAAACGTAACCAAACATCATGCGCCAAAACACACGTAGAAAATTGATTTGAGAATACAAACAAACAGAGCCAAAAATTCCCCCAAACGACCTTATTTTGGGGATTAGGGGATTAGAGGGGACATTTTTAAGGCTTCAAATCATTTTCCTATTTTATATTATGAAAATTATTTGACACCTCTTACTCGAATAATTTGATAGGATATGTATTAATTTTTGATTTGGTACATATTTAATAACCGTGAACATAATTTTCATGTTACATTATTGTACATGAATTTATGGATACAAATATAATATATAGGTTTCTAGGGGCTTTCCTCTGGTTCGTAATCGGGGTGGAAGGTATTGCTGGATTCGTGGAATTTTATCACAGGTCCCATTTTAATCATTCGAATCGTTAATGTGTATAAATCGTTGAGTACTATATGACTGTAAAAAATCACGTTGATTAGATGGCGGTAGCTATGTGATTAAATCAGATTTTTATAAGTTGTTTATTTTTCACCGTTCATTTTTTCATACAAAACTAATTTGATCACATAGTTATCGATATTTGATTAATATAATTTTTTATACCACATACAGTACTTGATGAGTTCTACGCATGAATGGCTCGAATTATCGAAATGAGACCTGTGATGGGCCTCCACAGTTCTAATAGTACCATTTAATCCGTGATTGGATTGAAAGAAAGTCATTCCCTTACCTTTATATTATTCCTCTATGTATTGGCTATTTTTTTACTATTTTATATTACATGATATTATTTGTATTTATTAATAATTATCTTTGAATAAAGAAATCAATTGTTGTACAAGTATCTAAATTGGCGTTAATACAAAATAATCATAAAAACCTGGTGATAGATAACATTTCTCAAATTATTATCAATGATAGAGTAATAATAATACAAATATCAAGATATATATATATATAATTGTATGCAAAAATGTGATTACATTAACATTTGAGGTCTCTCTTTCATTTTTTGTGATAGGATAAATTCACAATATTATTTTGTGATATCTAAGGTCCCTTAACCCTACACTCATATGTCACAGAGAAAATTCACTCTTTTGCTTTCTCTTCCAAGCCATTGAAGGAGCCATAGTTTTCATCTAGCAAGACCTCTCTCTCCAGCTCTACGTTTTCTCTACGTCAGCAAGCGAGAGAAGTTGAATTTGGTATCACCTACCTTCCAGTCGATTCCGATGGAATCATTGACTTCGATTCGCGATTTGTCTAGATACTAGGCAAACATTTCGTACTCACTGTAGCAATTAGAACCAAAGCAATCTAGCGCCAGAGCAGAGCCAGACCAGCGCCGGAGTTGAGTCAAACTCAGGCCAAAGCAGACAAAAGCTCGCGGATCTACACTACATCACCACTCACGATTTTGCAAGTCCAGAGATGTAACCCATCCTCTTATCTAATAATGAGAATTCAAAACCCCTCTAAAACAGTCACTGCATCTTACTCGAGAGATGATTCCACAAAGTATTTTGATTTTGCTAGATCGGTAATGGAGTTGCTGGACTTCATTATGCTTTTGAAGTTGCAAAACATGGAACTATTGCAGTGATTGCCAAGGCTATGCATCAAAATCACTGAAGCTATCAAATTACAGACAACCCAAGTGAATTTCTATAGTTGGAAGATGATTTTCTTTGGGTTTGAGTAAATTTCTCTGGGGTGGATAGGGGCATTTCTCTGATTTTGAAGAATTTCTTTGAGTTGAATCTAGAGAAAATAATCAAATTTTGTTTATTGGTTGCACTTAGTGTAATAATTTTGTGGATGATCTGTCTGGTATGCACATTTCTCTTTGCATCAGTACTAGTGGTGGTGGTGGTGTTTTTGAGTTAAAAATCATAGCTGTTAGTTCTTTACATAATCTAGAAATTTCTTTGGAGAGAAACAGAAAATTTCATTGGGTTGGAGAGAATTTATCTGGTCCAGAATTTATCTGGGAAATCCAGAGAAATTATTTAGATGAAATTTCTCTAAATCAAATTGAGAGACCTTAGACATGAAAATAGTAGATGTCATTTATATTCTAAAATCTTAATACCAAGGCCGTAAAAATAAAAACCCCTAACATTTATTATTTTAAAATAAAACATCTATAAAAATAATGTTTAATTATCAAAATACCACCACCACCATATCATTTTGATAAAATTTTTGTAAGAATATCATTTGTTTAATATTATCATTTTTTTTTTAAGTTCAATTTTATTCACTTGCCAATCTGTACAATAATTCTACGAGGGTCACTGCATTATGAACAAAATTGTTATAACTAGTATTCATTTTCTAATTATGTAAAACAAAATTTCTAGTACATTCCATTTTTTTTTTCTTCTCATTTAACATATGAAACAATCATTTATTGAAAATTTTTTCAAACCAATGGAGAAGGAATTACTAAGAAAAATTGCTGGACTTGCCAAACATTCTCGGTGGTGCATCAACGAGATTCCCATTCACAAATCAGATATGACTCTTATGCCACAAACTTAAAAAAAGCTATCATAAAACCATATATGTACGATTTTAGAAGCAAATAGATCACAAGATGGAAAGCTGATCTAACACTCCTTAGTAATTCAAGATTGGGGCATTCATATTCTCTGCAAGTTAACTTATTACACACCACAAACTTCAATATAAAGAGAGCAACTTAGCTGATGCATACAAAATACAATATTGGCTGATCATTCACTTCAGAAACCCATAGGTCCGATTTAGATCATCAACTGAAACCGCTGCACATAAAGCATTGATCCTACACTGACACAGACAATTGTATTATGGACTCGATATTCCATTTTGTCATGACGAGGCTGGATTCTGTTCTGAGGTCTTTGCCAACTTTGCTTCTATAAGCCTGTCCAAGATTGGGATTTCCAAGGGAACTGGATCAAGACAACGTTCTGCAGCAGCAACAATCACCTGCTCAACAAAAGAGCCAATGCTTGTAATTCCTTGTTACAAAATCAAAATGCGAATATGAAGTTCCAAACTTTTGTACTTAAAATGAATACGAACAAAACGGACAAAGTAAACAGTTTGTCAATTCCAAGACCTTTCCTATAAATTTATTGCTTATGAAGCTGCTTATAGCTGCTTCTTATCTTTTTTAATTTGAAAATTTGTGCCAAAAAGTGTTTGGTGCAACTATGATGCAGCTTACGAGGCAAAACTAGCTAAAAGAAAAAAAAACTGATTATTGAGGAGCAGAGGGAGAGTGCTTGTAGCTTATATTTTCTGATTATCAGCTTTCAATTTGTTAGCTGCTGCCTTAAAGCAGATTTCGTAAACAACCAAAATGAACTCTGGGATAAGAATTGTTTTGGAGCTGAATGTCAATAAACTTTGCAACCAACCTAAATCCATAGTCCTTTTGTTGGATCCACAGCACTCCCTCTTGCATTGGTGGGCCTCACCATACGAGAGAGGGGGCTGTAGATCTAGCAAAAAAGGGTGTGAATAAATTTCTAGACTTAATCTTCATTACCTCATCAAGCAGGAAATCAATTGCAGCTTCATCTTCAACGGTGTCCTTCAAAGTAGTTCTCAAGAACTGAATGTCCAACTGAATTTGCTGGAATCCACTCCGGTTAAAGGTCTGGAGGCGGACAAACTCTTGCAAACTCTTCAGACAAAGTTTTACAATAGTTGTTACCACCGATTCCTGCAATTCAAAAGTATTCTCATTGATTTTGTTCCAATAACAGTACCAGTAACTTTTTTTTTTTCTACCAGTGCTAGTACCAAACCTGTGTATGCTCAACTTTTGTAAAAATTTCCATTTTTTGCTTGAACAATTTTGCTAGATGGGTTTCCAGAAGCTGGCTCCTCGCCCTTTGGGTATTTGACCGGATGATTTTATCATCTCGTAATGGATTACTGCGTGAAGAAGTGGTGCTCCCATTGCTGTCTGTTCGACGATGTTTACGATGAACCCCTTGAGGCAAAATCTGCTTCACTTCAATTCCTATTGCTTCAAACTAGCACATGACGTATTCAAAGTGAATGTCTTGATTTCTTTTTCATATACACATGTTCATGCATCAAATGTTCGCGACATAATTATGCAAGTTGAAAGAGACAAAATGATTTGGTCATGTGCAAGGAAGACCAATAGATGCAACGAATATATATTTTTCAACTAAGTTGGTTGGTTTGGTCATGAGATATTCAAAATGATGATCTCTCCAACCCTGCTACTAATTAACTAGATTAGAACCTTACACAGATCAAATTAACAGAACTGTACCTCTTGAAGAAATAAATCAACAAACATATGAACTTCTCTCGGTTCCTTGTGCTGGGGGAAAAAGCACAAAAATATTAGTTGAACTATAGGAGAATTGCTAAACTAGATAATGCCCTTCAAGGTTATAAAAAATACTGGCTTAAGCTGTACCGACCTTGACCCAATTTGGTGTTGTAAACCTCTTCCTCAAAAGAACTGATATTTTGTGACTTCTCATATTGATATACTGCAAAACAAAGCAAGATTGAAATCAGGTTTCAAACAAATTTTAGACAGTATCTATTTCAAAGAGGCTCAATTTGGTTAGAGAGACAATACAGGAAAGTGAAAGAAAAAAAAACAAAGTAATTTTTTATGTGTTTGTTTCGACAGAGAGTCATAGAAAGTAATGGAAAGAAACTAAGGTTGCGTTTGGTAGAGCTTTAGAATTATAATTTGAGAATGGAGTTGTATTTTGAGTTTGTGAGTTTTAGAATTATGATTCGGGTGTGGAAAATTTGTTTGGTTATGAGTTTTAAAAAGAGTTTGAATTGAGTAATGTGGCATATAATATTGAAAAGTAAGTGTGGAATTAATTTTCTAAAGCTGTAACCAAACAATACACTCAAACTACGAGGTAGAATTAAACTTCAAAAACTCTACCAAACAAAGCCTAAAGTTTTATGTACAACTCAAATTAACTTGTTGGTTATTCACCCAAAAAAAAAAATAAAATTAACTTGTTGGTTAGGCTAACAATTTCTTGCAAATATACAGGGAAATTTATTTTTCCCACAAATCTTGACAAGATTTATTTTGTTTTCATTTTTGCCCATGTTTATCTCCATAACTCCCTGTTATGCAGTGATTATATTTTTTTTTCCCATCATTTTCTTACAAAATTTTTCATCTATTCAAATACATAATTTTTCATTTCTTATTTTCTTTCTTTCACTTCACTTTCTACCATTTTCATTTTCTATCATCCGTTTCTTTCTAAACAAAGAGTCATAAGGAAAACATTACACGTTCCATCTCGTTGCATATAGCAAGCTAAGAAGCATAAACACTCCTTAGAAGGTAATACTTCGAGTTCGACACCGACAGAACACAATACACTTGTAAGACACTACCGAACACTTCACACACAAGAAACATATTACAAGTTTAAATAAAATAACTTGAAATCCAATAATAAAACAAAAACAATGTAAATTCATATCGATTCTCCACCTTTAAACTTTAAAATGATTACATTTGACTTAAATATTCCTATATAAGAGATAATAATTTTTTTACCTTGTATATGACATATAATAAATATATTAAATTCCATATTTTGCACTTGCCCCCACGTGTCGTGTCTTATGTTTTTAAAAATTCTGTGTCAACGTGTCAATGTTCTACATATGTCCATGCAGGAGAGGTATATGAAAATGTGCTTCTTAGATAGCAAGACAACTCAGAGTTGCAACAACCTCAGTTAGTCTTCTAATTAACCCATAAGTTAGTGCCCATCAACATTTCACAGTTAAAAATCAGGTATAACCCAATAGTTAAACCACAATGGATACTGAACACTCAAATTTATGTGCTCATAATGCTACATTAATGAATTACATTCTAGAACTGAAGTGTCTGACAACGTATCCAATATTTAACTAGTGGTCAATTTGCAAACTGACCACTTATAAATGCAGTTTGAAAAAGGATTCAGAATGCGGTGTGCAAGTAGAGCTGGAATCACCGAAGAAAACAAGTTTTGTGAAAACAAAAAGGCCAATGTTGATTTCTTGAAATACATATGAATATTGAGATATGATAGGTTTCAGTAATCATAATAAATTTTTAAATTTTTTTTTAAAAAGGAGAAAAAATAGTGGAAAAAAAGAAAGATGTTTTGGCGGAGAAGAGCCAATTTTGGGCTGAATTACAGAAACTGACCCCATGAATCTTGTAAAAATTCCAAGAAATGACGTTTCAAATGATGGAAATGCACATCTCAAACAATTTTTGGATTTAGTCTAATGAGCATAGAGTGGTAAGATCCAAAGATAACTTAGTGTAGTTGTCATAGATAACTTAGCAACAAATTGGTTAACACACAACTACAGTTGATACTTGATATCCACAATAGAGACTATCTAATTTGATAACTTCAACAATCCAGGCTGTAGCAAACTTACCAGGTGTAAAAACCTTTCACCAGCCGACCGAAACATACGGCAAATTTCTGCAGGAACAAAAGCAGGCCCATATTCACGACCTCGAACACCACCACCACCAGAAAAAGAGGCAGCTATTTCCTGGTACATTGAGCATGATAGTTCAAATTAGGCTCTTAAGACTGTGAAAAGGACAAGAACTGTGGTACATAAAGCTTAAAAAACAATAGAAACATGTAAACATTAAAGAGCTACTAGCCTCAGTGATTCTTGGGATGGTACTTTGTTCAATGAAAACTGAAAGTTGAACCAGCACAAGAACAAGCCCAGAAAGAATTTTGTCTCTCTGTGTTCCCTCTATCAAACCCTGATCTTGACTGGCAGAATTATTCTTTCCTGAAAGCAAGAGGAAGTGATCATCAAGTTTTCTAAAGAAGTCTTGAAACCCTTCTTGAACCAAGTCAATAATCAAGTCTCTCAACTTCACCAGTAGCCCCTGATTGTCATCACGTATTTGGCAGAAGTCCTACGATACAGATAGAATATGAGATCGAAAGGTGAAATGCAGTAGCATAACCATAAACAATTTCAACTTGCAATGCAATGCTTGTTTTACATAATAAAATGCAAAAAGTTCAAGGGCTATGAAGTCTATAATAACAAAAGAAATCAACAATAAAAAATTATCGCATGAATAAGCTAATCACCAAATAATTAAAATTAATACAAATTAACTCAATGAGTTACTAATTATATTACAAAAAACGTTGAAAGGTTAGCTCTACCTGCTTATGCCACCACATGGTAAACTCACGGTAATGGTTTGTTTTCAATCAATTTAATAAGATCAATAATGTATGGCTCCAAAATGCACTAGTCTCCTAAACACTTGCAAAAGTTCATTTAATATGGATTAACCATTTAAAACAGAAATGTTATTTCGCTTTGCAGTTCCTATTTGCATTGGTCAACTGATGCATGATGCCTCCTATTTGTGTTCTTTAGCTGACCCACCATTCCACATTCTTTTAGGTGTAATTCATTATTTATTGTATTCGCCCCATAACAAGAAAAATAAAGAAAAAAAATAACTCTTCAGGTAGATATTATCACATATTTGCATATCAGTGGGATAGTACTGGATTTTTTATCAAATAAAGCAGCTTAAGTACTGAAAACCATCAACAACGTCCAAGTATCCTTGCAAACAAAAATGAAGGCACAGAACCACCAACTATTGATAAGTTTTTCATGCGAAATGACAGCTATGGTGAAATAACAGCATAGGTAAATCCAAAGTTGAGGATAAACAAACTTGCAATGACTCTAGACCTATGAAGCACGGACACTTCAAAATAGGTGACGTAGCGGTATCGGACACGTACAGGACGCGCCATGTGACGTGTCCCTTTAATTTTATTATATTTTTGCATGGGACACGCTGGAGTTTTTTTTAATTTTTGTAAATGTCTTTTGGGGTCAAAGTGTAAAATTAAGAAAGTAAAAAAAGAAAAAAGCATAATTCAACCTTTGCTTGAACAAAAGAAAGAGAAGAAAATAAATCAGAAGCTCCAGTCGTCTCTCACTTGCCTCTCGAAGAACACAGTCTCTCTTTCTCTCTCCTCTCTTCCGCCTGTCTTCTCTCTCTCGCCTCTCTTCTGAAACTCTCTTTTCTTTTTTCTTTTTTTTTTAAAATTTGTTTTTTGATTATACATTTACTACACGTTTCTCTATATTTCTGTATTTGTGATGAATATTTTCTTTTCCCATTAGTGGTTTATATATATATATATATTGAAGTAATGTTAGTTTTTATTAATTTTGATTGTTTGGTAACATAATATTAATCTACATCGCAAATATATATAAAAAATTTCCGTGTCCCGTGTCCGTGTCCGTGTCTATGCTTGTGCTTCATATACAGACAGAAAGTCTTCATGACAACTCATGTCTTACTTGTAGGACATTCATGCTGCCTTCAATTACTGCTTTTTTGCTGGCATCAAGGGCAGACTGCAAAGTGTATTCTTCTGCTCCCTCCTTCGGTCTATATTGGACTTTAGTAAGGGCATCTGCCAGTTCATGCAAATCAGACATTCAACAACTGAAACTCATGCAGTCAACATGGGTTGTTAACATCATATATTTCTTTCTGTAGTATCTTTGAGCAGATACATAATATTTTTTAAAAAACAACATATGGTTCGATTTCTAAGAGTCTACGTCACCCTGCCAGTTATTTTTGAGTTACTGTACCTAGTGCATCTGTGTCAACAAAAGCAAGCTGAGATATCAAGTAGCACATGAAACTACAACAGTGAGACTAACCTGAGATATCAAGTAGCAGATGAGAAAATGTGGTATCAATATACTGTTTGACAGCAACACAAGCAGCCTGTACCCATATAAGAGTAAAAATCAATCAAATACATCAATCAATAATACATTGTATTTTAACAATTTTCAATTAAAATCAGAAAGGAGAGAGACATATGTAGTGAGGTAACCATCAACTATAAAATTGAAGAGAATGACAAAGAAAAACCTTTAAAGAAAAATCAGAGAGAGCAGCCTCAGGCAACACTTCATCCATCAAGAGCACATCAGACCATATTACCCCTGCATGAAGATAGCCATTTGATTATAGATCATTTTCAGAGTGCAATATGCTAATGTATAAGAGCATGAGTGAAATATTTTAACTTCAAATCAAGATCTTCGCGTCAAAATTTGAAGAGAACTGATTCATGATTATATTAACAGAAGTGTAATGGTGTTCAGCATTAATTCTTCACGGGCCATGATAACAATTAAATTTTTGTTGAGACTTAATTTTAATATTAATTAGGATAACAGGCAATATTTAGTGACTTTGGTGGTATTCTGAAAATGCATTCTCCAATTGGCATCCAGAGACTTCCCGGAACAATAAAAAATTCTTAAACACAAAATTAACTCAGCAAGCAGACTGCTTGTTCACTCAGGAGGACCCAAAGGCTCTACTGTTTTAAACGGCAATAATTGGGAAATGATTAAAGAAGTCCACAGTGCAAAGCCCCTAAATTAGAAACAAAAGAATTTCTTATTTACAGGATTTCTTCTAAAAGATCATTAAGAAGGTTGGTTTTGCTCTTATCAGGTAAATGAGATAGAAGAAGATTTTGTTGCATTTAGGTTATGAACAAGAAAAAAAACCTCTATATTCAAAGGGCATGTGCGAGGACTTGAAAAAGTCTAAACACTTCACAGTCATTGAGAAGCACTTATTGTTTACAGCGGCCATCTAAGTGCTTAGACAGTTGCCTCGCTATTGTCAGGATAGGTCACCACTAGGCTTTTCAAAAGCAAGCTTAACAAACTAGTTATTGTGAATACTACTTGGGGCTAAGAAACTGGTTATTGTGAATAAATAAAAGTAGCAGTACAGTACCAATACAATGACATGTATTGATGTAATGGCAGGCATTTTGAACTTACAAAGCATTCCGAGTAGATCTGCTGAACAAATCCGTCTCTTAATTTGTTGTTGAATAGCTTCAAAGTGCCTAAGAAACAAATGTCAATGACATGTTATGAGCAAAATGCATTTTTTCTTCTTTAAAAGATCATCCAAGAAAAAGTACATCATAAATGCTAGCAATTTTTTTTAAAAATTTGATGAAAAATAAAGTCATACTTGGTAACAAGGTCTTGGGAAAGTTTGATTAGTTGCTGCTCTGAATCAGGGAATATTACCCGATAAGCACGGACAGCTTCCACAAATTCACGAGTAGAAGCCTTATACAGAAAATAGTAGATAAGCAATGGTTATTGTGCACAAACTAACTACAGGCATTTAAGAAAGTAAAACAAAAAAATAACACAGGCACTTGCTATAAGAACCACATAAACAAGAAAGAGTACATGCTTTAGGGAAATGAAAATTTGGCAGAATCACAGTACCAGCTGGCTCCTATTTCTGAAATTTAGATTTTTTTTTAATGTGCAATACAAGCAGAGTCAGAAATTGAAACAGAGTTCATCTCATTCGAATCGCATTAACGGCTAGGAATGGTTTGATATTGTACGATGGTACAATCAAATTTAAATTCAATCCAATAGTGTTCTAATATGATTAGGAGCTTCTAAGTTGGCAGAAGCAAAAAAAACTACTTGTGTTCAACTACTAACCTCAATTGCACCCTTATATAGAAACTTCCAAGAAGATACACACATGTAACTAATAAATAAATAAATAAGTTAATATTCTTCATACTAAATATGTATTAGAAAAAAACAAATATAATGTCATTTTGTGTTCACTTACCTCAGAAGCAGCAGAAGGAACTGAGTTGGGGTAACTTCCTTGCTTAAAAGATCCATCATGATCCAATGAAGCATTGCTTACTTCTCTAGAATCAAGTTGAAGGTCGACAATGAATTGTTCTAACTTTTCAAGGAGTTTTGCCTTCAAGGTGTCAACCTGTCAATATGTGGCCAAACTGTCATGCTGTATAGGCATGGCTGTATAATCTTTCTGAATATAATTGCATCCAAATAATTTGGGTGTATATTTAGCCCACAAACCATAAAATTTGTAGGAAATATAAGTTTCCAATATGTAGCATTATCTTTTTCACTATCAATATCCAGTAATATTTATTAAGACTATCATGTAATACAATGACAGACAGAATGACTTGGTTCCTTAAGAATAAAACATGTAAAGCAAGTAACAAATAAGTTTGATTGACAAAACTTTAAAATAGTTTTAACACAAACCGGGAAATCCAATTGCTTAAGAAGCATTACAGCCTCAGCTCTCGACTGTATAGATTCAGAATCTGAGAACAGCTTTCCCTGAAAGGAAAATTTGTATGAGTTTACATTTTTTTGGTATTATTATATCAGAAAAGGAACCAGAGATTCAGCAAGTTATACCAATAAATAGGAGTCACACATGACAGAGCTACTATACGAGTTATTTTTCAAAATTCAAATTCAATAGGACCAAATCCTCCTTTAAATTAGTGCATCCCTTGATTTGTATTCACATGACAGAACCATCATATGTAACTTCCTTCATCATATGCTTATCTGGTGACGTAACTAACCTAAATCAAACACCCTTAGCAACTAAACAAAAGAGAAGTAACCTGCAAGTTCTTTATAATAACAGCCACTGCTTCTTCAGATGCTCTCTTACAGTCCTGGAATGATGAATCCCCATATGCCTAGTGAAACAAAACAAGTGCCATGTCATTGGTCGTCAGTGATTTGTGAAGTAGACAATTAAGCAGGAAGGTTGAAATTATACGAAAAGAAAATAAAATGATAAAGAGAAAAAGAAGAGAGATAGAACTCATAAAAAATTAACCTTAAAAATCGGCATGGCTCCAGTATAAAACCTGACTGCATCAGCATAAGCTTCTGATTTTATACACTTCCCAAGCCTAGAAGGTAGGTCATATATGAACTGCTCTTTTCCACAGAAGATGAAATCTGTGTAACTCATACATGCCCAAACACCAAAATTTACATAAAATATGGGGCTTGAAAAAAATTCTATATCCATCTAATCGGAAACTTAACCACAACAAATCTAAATAATAATCATATAGATTGGCAAAACGATACATTCAGCGCAAATATAATCACTTTTCAAATAAGAATTGCACTAACATGTTAACTGGCAAGTAACTCAGCTGCTCTTAGTTCATTTGATTTGATTACACATATACAGCAAGTAATAAGTTATTTGTTTCTGTTCTTTCTTCTCAATGTTCTCATAAGGCAAGCTTCAGGTCACTTAACAAAAAGTCAATGTCCAATCAAATCTGCTGAATTATAGAACTTCGCAATTAATTAGAGGTGCGGACAAACATTTGATGCTTCATTTTATTACCTGAACTTTACGCAAAAGATTACATGTTCGATGTAATTTCTCTATGTGCTCTCTCTTCTCAAAAAGAGAAGTGTTGACCACATCACTTCGAGATTGCACAGACATTATCTGCAAAAAAAAATGATGAAGAAGATATGATTCTTTATGAAAACTAACTTCCTTTTCTTTGATCTTATCTCTTATACGGAAATCACTTTTTAATCAATAACAGCAAGAAATGCTTTCCAACACCTTTTCGTGAAGTTGTTCCGTGTTTGATTCCATGCCCACAATATTATTTTTCATCCTGGACAAATAAAATATCAAACATATTCTTGTTGTCCATGTTGCAATGAAGACAGTTAAAACTATATATACATACATATATATATATATATCCATCTAAAAACATGGAAAATGATTTTGCAATAATACTGTTGCCATCACCAAGTGCATCAATATCAGGCCCACAAAAACAGAGGATACTTAAATAAATTAAGAAAAATATTGGTCAAAATCCGCATTATGCCAAGGTTGAGTTTACTAAATTCATCTATGAAAGTATTATTTTCCTACTACTACCAAATAAGCTAACAGTTCATTCCAAATGTGATGAGAAATATCCCTACCTTTTAATTGTGTCTGTGGCGCTAATAAACTTGTTGTAGTTTTCATACACTAACATTTGCAAGTCAGTGTCGAGATTTTTAATCTCAGCAGCCATCTCCACATGTCTCTGAAGCAGGCCCTCCAAATTTGACTTTTGTACCTACAGATTGTAATAACAAAAAATTCATAAGATACAATTTGCTTAGATTGTAATTTGATTAGATTGTACACATCCAAACCAAGATTGTAATTTGATTAGATTGTACTTACCCAAATCAATTATTGTGGAACAATATAAAAAGATACAATTTCAACCCAATAGAGGAAGATGAATTTAGGTTTTCTGAGTCAAATTCGTAATATATATATATTAAATGGGAAGTGAAAAATACATAAATGGCATGTATATGTATATATTTGAGTATTGAGCGATGTTGAAGATATAATTGAGAGAGCGAGAAGTACGAGGAGATTCATGTACTGGTCGGGGTCGAAGGAGGAAGTGTTGATTGTGTCGAGCGTGGCGTATTTGGAGGAAGATGGAGGAGGTGGTGGATCTGTGGAGTAGAAGCTCGACAACAGATCTCTCATTCTCTTCGCCTTGTCGTCCATCGGAACATCATCATCATCGTCCACCCCCATCTTCTCTCCCTCTCTCCTCGTCATTCAACTTCTACCTACGTTACTACTACTGGAGACTAGGGGCTCTAGATCAAGACTCGAAAAAGTGGAGGAGAGGGCGATGACTGAAAACTATAGAAAACTAACTCCACATTTTTTTTTAACCGACTCCGGTGGAGCCGATCCGGAGCGGTAACTATGGATTATTTATTGAATCAATAAAAAAAAAAAAAAACTATGGATTATTTTTTTTTAAAATTTATTTTAAGAAAACACACAAATATTTGGTGGTTAACTATTTTTGGGCTTTAAAAAATCATTGATTGTTTTTTGGTAATTCTATTTATATCCAAAAAATAACTCAGTATGGCATTGTTTGGGAAGTATGTTTTTTGATTTTTTTTACTAAAAGACAAATTAGTTACAAAAAAAAATAAATAAATTCAAACAAAATATCACCTCAAACTCCATTATCATTTTATTTTTTTTCTCACTAACATCACATTCAACCACAAAAAAATTTAACTATCTTCTCAAATACAAATTTTTTTTTTCTCCAATAATGTGAGTGTTTGGGAAGTGAATTTTTTTGTAAGTTTTTTTAGTTATAGGATATTATTGGAGAAATTTTTTTTTATGTTCGGGAACATAATTGGATTTTTTTGTTATTAGATGTGATGTTTGTGAGAGAAAAAATAAAATAATTATAGGGTTTGATGTGATATTTTGTTTGGATTTGTTTTTTTTTTTGATTTTATAACCAATTTGTTTTTTAGTGAAAAAAAAATCAAAAAATTTCCTTCCCAAACACCCCCAATATCTTACAATTAAAAAAACTAACAAAAAAACCCACTTCCCAAACACCCACTGTATCAAATTAAAAGTTTACTTTCTATTATACGTTAATATAAATTTACTAATAAGAATAATATCTATTAAATCTTAATTGTACACCCTAATCACTTATACGTATTCTTCATATTTTAAGTATTTTCATTTTTTTCTCAAATTTCAATTATTTTCTCTTTATCTTCTTCTTCAATTTAAAACTTAAATTTATCCCACTAAAATTCACAATTATTATCAACATTATTTCTTATTGTGTTATTATTTGTAAATAGAAAAAAATTTAAACAAAAGTAAATAATAGATAAAAATAATAATCAAAAATGTTTTTCTAAAGATTTTAGGATTTCTTTTATCAGGACGGTTATGAACTTGAATAACCGAACTATTGTCTATTAGATGATGCATCAGTTAGAAACATTATCAGAAAAAAAGGTCATTTGATTTAGGAAGGGTTAGACTTCTTACAAAAGGAAATGGAGCTAGGGTTATAGCAAATCTTAAAGTGCCATTACGGATGCTAGTAAAAGAATGCTCTTTGAAAGTTCAATCTTGTTAACTGTTGGGTAAGGTATTTTTGCCTTCAAAGCGTGTTAAGTCTCCGTTTGGGAAGTGGGTTGGCTTTTTAGCTTTTTGGCTTTTTTGGCTATTTTAGCCTGGGCTTAAAAGCTTGGTTTGGGAAGGGCTTTTTGGCTTTTTGGCTTTTTTGAGTTTTTTTGTGAGAGAAGAATGTAATGATTATGGGTTGGATGTGATGTTTTGTTTGTTATGGCTAAAATAGCCTATTTTGTTTTTTGTGGCTAAAATAGCCAAAAAAGCCTCCAACCCACCTTCCCAAACGGTGCCTAAATATGACACTTATATGTCTACGAAGGTTTTAGGTTCATGAAAGATTTGGGCTCCGTTTGGTGGAGTTTTCAAAATCTAGTTCCACACTCACTTTTGAGTGTGGTGTTTGTTTAGAGTTTTTAAATCATAATTCTACATTCATTTCTCAAAACTCAATTCAAAACATAATCATTACTTTTCAAAACTCATAACCAAACACATAATTCAAAACTCTTTTCAAAACTTAATTCAAATTAATATTTTAATTTTTTAAATATTTTAAATATTTTAATATTTAAATATGTTACGATTTTTTTAATTTTTTAATTTTTTTAATTTTTTTAAATTTAAAATATTTTATAAAAATAAATTCAAACTCTATTTAATAAAAATATTTTAAATATTTTAATTTTTTGTTATGTATTTAGTTACGATTTGAGTGTAGAGTTGTAAAGTAGTATAGAGTTTCGAGTTATGTGTTTGGTTATGAGTTTTAAAAATAATTTTTTAATTGAGTTTTGTTTTATGTGTTTGGTTACGATTTAGTGTAGAGTTGTTTTTAAATTTAAATATTAAAATTTAAATTATTTAATTTTTTAAATTATTAAATTTTTACCGATTTAAAATTTTTGAATATTTATTTTAATTTTTACTTATTAAATTTTTTAGATTATTTAAATTATTTAAATATTTATGATTTAAATTTTTGAATATTTATTTTGAAAAAAAATTATTTCCTTTGTAGTATTTTCAATTAAAAAATTGATTAATGTTATTTTTGTGTTAATAATAAATTTTTTAATTGAATTTAAAAAGAAGTTTGGTTATGAGTGTTGATCAAAATTTTCAATAATGTGAAAGTAATGTGTTTTGTTATGAGTTATAACAATTTGAATTAAGTTTGAAAACTCTTTTCAAAACTCATAACCAAATAAATTTTCTTACTTCACATGTCAAATCAAACTTTCAAAACTCAATTCTACACTCAATTCCACACTCAATTCAACACTTTATTCAAAAACCATAACAACAACAAATTTTTTACACTCAAATCATAATTCTAAAACACACAAAACTCAAAATACACTCATATTCTCAAATCATAGTTACAAGCTCTACCAACGGAGCTTGAATTTTTAAGGTTGAGAAGTTTCAAAATTCTAAAGAATAGGTAAGGGTTATTGAATTTTTTTTTCAAAATGGTGTAATTTGGGATTTTGATTTTTTATTATTTGAGTGTATCACAAATTACAAATTTTATTTTGAAAGATAATTTGTGAAAAATAAAATAAAATAAAGTTTACTGAGATAATTATTGTCATGACCCGCTTCCTATATCCAAGGGTTAAGTATCGTATGATCAGTAACTGAAGTTACTTATGATCAATTCTTGAACAAATAAATAAACACGAGTGAAAATAATATTTAAGTGAGGATACCAAAATAATCATCGGAGTTTCTATTTTATAACAAAATTTATTGACCAAAAAGGCCGATATTTACATATGAAGAATAGAATTATAAATACTATTAAAAGTGCTATATGTGTTTATTCCGCAGCCCCCGTGTCTAAGACTCTCCAAAAATTATTTCTAAATTGCATTGTTTCCTAAAAATTGGTAAACAACTATAAACACATGGCAGAGTGAGAATATTAATACTGAGAGCATAATTACCACATATAAGTTTAGGCTTAAAATAGATAATAGAATACTTTTCTATTAGAGTAAATAAGTTGCTCATATTATAACAGAAATCCGTTTCAGAAATCAATGATATTATACTAAAATATATAACCTATAATTACGGTGCAGAACAGAACATAGGCCCAATGGATTTATGACAATGCAGAGGGCACGGATTCAAGAGGTGGCTCGTACAGATTCTAGAGGTGGCTCCCACAATAGTGTAGTACTTAGATCCGCGCAAAACAGAGATTAATAGATCCATGACAAATAGAGGGCTACAAGGTGACCAATCAGAAACCAATTATTTATTTAAATCTCCCAAGGCATGGGACTCCCGTGGTGGTACGTACAGAAAATAATTATTTACAAGGTTATTGTCAAATGCTTTTTAAAATTTAAACAACATATCCATGGGTTTCAATTTAAGCAAATAAGGGTTAGGAAATAATCCACGTAATCGAAATATTAATATAATTTATAAAATACAAATTACATAAAAAAAAATTATAATAACTTAACATACGTAAAATATATTATAATGACTCAAAATATAATATAACTCATCTTATTATTAATTTTAACTTTTTACTTTCCGTTCACCGTAACTCATTAAATACTTATAAAATAATTAAAGAGAGAAGTGCCGAAAGGGAGAGAAAAAGAGAGTTTGGGACATGTAGGAATGGCAACGGGGCGGGGCGGGGCCGGGGATCGCACTCCCCGTCCTCGATCCCCGAAGCTACAAAACTCCTCGTCCCCGTCCCCGATCCCCGACGGGAAACCTATCACCCCCCCACCCTCGCCCCCAACGGGGATCAGGTTTCCCCGACCCCGGAAAATCCCCATAGCTCCCTCAACATCATTTTCATCAACATCATTTTCCTCAACAACATCATCAACGGCAACATCATCAACCACAAAAAAATAAAAATAAAAATAATATGGAGACAAACATATTACAAACACAGTGACAAATACACATACAAGTATATACATAAATGGTGGGATTTGATCTTCTCAGATCTGAGATGTGAGATGTAAAATCTGCGGTGGTGTGGTGGAGATGGGATCTACTCAGGTCTGCCCAGATCTGTCGTGGTAGGAACCGAAGCTGGAGTATGAAGGTTTGGCAGTGGCGCGGAGGAGGAGGAGGACGCGGCGACAGAGGAGGGTGTGCACACTGCTGCGGAGGAGGAGATGACGCCATCGCCACTGGGGAGAGGAGATCGCACCGTCGCCACTGCAAAGAGGAGATCGCACTCGCCACTGGAAAGAAGAGAGAGTGAGAGAAGATAAGAGAGAATGTAATATGCAAGTGAGAGAGAGTGTTGACCCAAACATATATCATATAATATATAATATATAATATTTAATATTTAAATAGAGGGGCTGCTCCTGTGTTGTTCAACCAAACCAAGCCGTAAACATATATATATATATAATATAAATCGGGGCTAACGAGATGGGGGGCGGGGCCGGGGATGAAATGTGTATCACCGTCCCCGGCCCGAATGTCACCGGGGATTGAATTTCGAATACCATCCCCGTCCCCACGGGGATATTTTTCAGAAAAAAACCATTCTTATCGGGGACGGGGGGTTGGGTCTCCGTCGGGCCGGGTTCAAATTGCCATCCCTAGGGACATGATGATGATGCACACTGTGAACATGCCTATATATATGGAGGAGAAGGCGTGGTCAGCAAGAGCATGGGGAGGGCACGCGCCCTTCTTATACAGGAAATCTTACATTCAACAATGTTACAGATTATTAAATTTTTATCATTAA